ATATATATATATATATATATATATATATATATATATATATATATGTATGTATGTATGTATGTATAAAACATGTAAACAAACGCTTAAAATTTATCTCGAAATATGCAGTAAGGATGAGAGGTAATCAATTTTGTAGATAAGGACAATAAATTCGGCGAAAATGGTTTAGCGAAAGCGGCCAATACTATGTATTAAATATCACGTAGAAAGAAATATGTATTTTTCAAATAAATTAGACACAGAACACGGTGTCTTATTAACCTCTATTATCTCACATTGTTCGTAAATTTTCATCTGAACGCGATTTTATGATGTTTTACTAATTTGCTATACAAAAATTGAGATAATATTCGGCGTAAAGTATGTAAACAGTAACGTCGGATAGTCACAATTCAAAGAACTGTAACCTATACAGAGTACGGAACATTAGGTTATTCTTTCGCGAACTAAATTTCATCCAAGATTTTGTGGTATCATGAATATTTATAATGAATATTGCAAAGATGATAGTAGTGCAAGAGTATTTTTCAATAATATCATTGATCACATACACACACATTGAAATATTTCACCATAACTATCCGTTGGTTATTCTTCTCATAGATTATTGATTATCGCGGTATAGAGCAGCAACGACAGAGAAATACGCGGATACTAAATGAAGAAATAAATAAGTCCGTGCCGGCTTTTGTTTATGTGACAATTAATTTTATTCTGTGACGCGTAAGACGTAAAACTGTGAAACGTAAAATATTCGATACCATACTTCCGTATTTACTATGTGGTACATATATTTTTGTTTGCAAAAAACATTGTTGTTGTTATTTCCACGCATTTTCAATCGCGGAGCTCGTGGTTGATAGATAGGGGAACCGCTTTTTCCGTAAATATTTATTTAGACAGGAGAAAGAGCTTTCTCCGCGTAAGCCAAAACGTATGATTAAATTGTTACTAAAATTACTTGTTTGTAGCAACGGATAGTATAAGAGAGAAAAGATTATCAATGATGTCAACAACATTCAGTATTTACAGAGCTGCTATCTCACAAATATTTGGTAAGACTGCACGAGACTTTATTCATATCCTGTGGTAAAATGCAAAATTGTTCGTAACGGAGATGAAGATAGGGTCTAGATGACACTCAGACTATAAATTTTGAAAGATTTCATCCTGTGCGGTGACGCGGCTCACCTGAGCAGTGGTGTAAGGCGAATTCTTGCCGGGAAAGCCCCGGAAAAAATCGTCGGTATCGCGGCTGGCGACGATGGAACTTGTAAAGTTTCGAAACAGATTGCCGTCCGCGGTGGTTACGTCCTGCCCCTCCATATGACGACCCTAGCCGGAAGTCTGGAGCATCCCAAGGGCCCCCCTCGCCGACGACTACGTCATGCTCCTTCTCTCCTCTCGACTGTGGGATACCTCGCAAGTTCACGGCGTGCATGAGAATCCTCGCTCGATTCCGGTAGACGAGTTGAGCAATAAGCGGACTCGGCGGCAGCAGTTGCAGCAACAACGGCAGCAGCAACAGTAGCAAATAGCGAACCTCTTTTATTCCGCGGTCCAACGTGGAACGACGCTTTTAGCTTCTCTGCAAAATCGCGTTTCGTCGTGACTGACGAGTCTACCTGAAGGAAGGGATGCAATAGGTACACTTTGAGTTGAAAAACTCATTTATCTTCTATTTATATATAGTTCAAATATAAATTATACGAGTTTCCTCTTTGGTTTCTTCGATATTTTTACGACTGAATTTGTACCAAGTTCGTTAGGCAGGATACGAAAAGATCGAATGCATTTGCGTTACTAAGAACAGGATGTGAACGACAATGACACTTGATCTTGCAAAATTTCTTTAGTTTTATTTTACGTTATTCTTTCGACTAGCGATCGATTGATCGATTCTACAATGGATAATGACCCTTACAAAAAGAACAGAGTATAATGTTCTTGAATAGGATAAATTTAAGTACTCGCAACAATACTCTTGCTGTTCTGTCACCATTATCGCAACTTTATAGAATACGAAGCAAAACAGTATAGCTATTTGATCGAATTGTAAAGTAGAGGTGTCTCGTAGAGGCAACAGTGAAAATTATTGATTAAAAAAAACTATAGAGCTAAAGCTATGGAGTGAAATTCCGTAACACTATTTTATCGTTGTCTTGATAAAGAAATGCGCCCCTCTTGTCGGTGAAAATCGATGTGAATTCTTTCGTGGAACAAGAATGTCGCGAGTATAGATTGAAATTGACTATTCAACAACTGAGAATTTCGAAAGTTCTTCAGATAGAAATGTCGTAGACTGCGATTAAAATTTAGAATATCTATGTTTTCGACAACGACGAAGACACAAGTCACAAAGAGTCGTACTAGCGCGTCTTCGTCCACCAGCGGACGGTGACCTAATTATTTCGCCGTCTGGTTTATTAGATTTTGAACTGATTACAGCGTGGAATTACACAACGAGATGTCGGTATTTAAGTATTTTACGACTTTATAGAATTTCGACTTAATACATAACGACTCAGTCATTTCTGCATGCAATATTTTATGCATTTTATCATTTATACAGTCTTAAGTGGATGTTGAAGCTGACAACTTTACCGATAGAATACTTTATTGACATTTTTCTGCAAACTTTACGTCATATTGGTTGTACAGAATTACAAATGTTTTTACGCAATAAAAGTATGTGCACAAATAAACAGAAATATTACTCAATATGTGACGAAAACAAAAAAAATTTTAATTGAAAATTTCAAGCTGTCAGTTGGAGTAATGTTTGCTTAATCCAAAAGTACCGCAGCTTGTATATACCGAAAGTGTTCCAAACAGATATTCCAAACAGATAAATTTTGAAGAACATTGTTGTACCTTCGTATCTGAATTCAGAAGCTTAAGAATATCAAAAAAATTTGCAGTAAGATTTCTACACGTGCGTGGTTAGGTTTTCCACTGAATATGGTCAAAGAAAGCAACACGCGCACATTTACGTAAATTTATATGTACAATAAATATAAAGAGAATAGCGTGAGTGATGATCGTCTTTGCGTTATCAACATTTTTCGAGTTTGTCATTCTTCAGCATTAATATCATAAATGTTTCGGAGATAGAATCGAGAAATCCTTAAAGAACTATGCGCTGTATATTAACACATATATTTCTAGAATTATATAATTTCACGCACATTTTTTACTTTTCGAAAGAAACAAACATATGAGAAAGAGAGAGGAGAGAGAGAGGAGAGAGAGAGAGAGAGAGAGAGAGAGAGAGAGAGAGAGAGAGAGAGATGTACGCTGCTTGAAATAAAAGTAAAATAAGAAATGATGTGAAAAACAGTAACCTCCGTATAACAATAACTTTAGGGGAAAATCTATGTTTTTATTTCAACAATTGTTGAAAAATAGTAGAGAAATTATAAAAATAAACAGATAATTCTTTTACATTAAATTTCTTTACACTTTTGTAAGGAAACACGCACTTTACACGTATTGTGACTATTTTTTGTTTGAGCTTGCATGATGGAAAATATTTTGCAACGATATCGAATCGACAGAAACGCAGGCGAAGTGGCACATCATAAAGTAGAAGAAACTGCAATTACGTTGACACGCCAAGTAGTTACGTGCTCTAATCAATGTTGAGCTTTGTGAAAATGTAATTTGCTAAATTGGTCATGCGAAGAAATGATTTGTAAGTCTCAGAATATGAGATTCTTGATTTCTATTGTCAATTTTGATTGTTTTTTCTAGTCTTAAGAGAAACAGACTTCTTAAAGTCCTTAATCTAATCTAGTAAATCTAATTATATTCTCAAACTGTATTTAAATTTAAATTGTATTTAAATATCGAATTATTTTTCCTGACAGTTGCATAAAGTCATGGTCGTTCGATTAACGATAAAATTTGTGTATTCTCTTCTTTTATGCAAAGTCCAACGAAATTGCGTAGTGCAATTTTGCAGAGGCGAAAATGAAATCTGAACCAATAGTCTCAACCTATTGGCTATTTTAATCTCTCGGAGGAAGATTGGCAATCCGCATTTTATCCGGAATCAAGCTTAATCGAACATTCACGATAATTTCAATCCGATGAATTTACTGACACTAGTAGAATATTCTGCCAACTGGCATAATTTTATATTAGCGAAATTGCGATAAGATGATTTACTAACCTTTTCCCGCATCAATCTTGATCTTGAACATTTGTCCTAGTCTAACTTGTTGAAGGAAAGGAAGGAAGGAAGAAAAGAAAGAGTAAAATCGGAATACTTACTACGACGAGCTACACGCCTGACATAAGAAAAGAGAAGGAAATTAAAGTGAATTCAATTTCACGCGAACTGTCGCTTTGCGAATTGCGATGTCTCTTGGATACCTTGGCGTAGTAGCATAAAATTACACGGACCGTCTATAATGAATGAAGATCGTAGAAAAAAAATATTCCTTCCCGATGCGAAAGTATATGATTCGCGAGAGCGGAATTTCGCGAGTTTCAGCGGAATAAACTGTTTTGTATATTTTGGTGTGTTTCTGTACACTCTGTACGCTTAGATGCAGCAGCCGTGTCGCTTGGTGAAAACTATGAGTAATCGTCCTGCTTGTGTGGTTTATTTGCCTTGCCGAGCTGTGTACAATCGCTGTGTTCTACGCTGAATGTTTCGTTGACAAATTGCGCAACAGCTTTGTCGTTGCGGAGTGCACTTTCATAATCGCCGAGAAACTTTTCTGCTCGATAGTCGGTTTCATTCCTCAAAAAAAAAAAAAAAAAA